TTACATATCTAGCTAGTAACTAGCCAGAAATACCAGACAGCAGTTATCTAAGACACAACTTTTCTAGCTAACCATTAGCTAGAAATGAGGTTCAATTTCTACTCGGGCGAACGCGTCAATTTGTGTCACGTGCTGTTTCCGGCCGGGTCCCAGCAATGGCGTCCTTCCGGTCTTATGGCTTAACTCTCCTTATAGGAACTTACAGTTAACGTGTCATTTTTCCCTTCTGACATCTATATTCAATATGCATGTGATGACTACTCAGTTTTAATATTTTTACATGATTACATAAACCGATGTATTAAAATTCCATTCTAATGAATTTTGGAATATTTCAAGCCTTTTCAAGTCAAACACCGGTTGTAATTGTGTGATAAAGTACTCTTTATTATAAAAATGAACGTTTTGATCCTATGTATCGGATCCTTCTCAACATTCTCTACATAATAAAGTACTCTTTATTATAAAAATGAACGTTTTGATCCTATGTATCGGGTCCTTCTCAACATTCTCTACATTCTCATCTTCTTCTTCTTCTGTTGATTCAATCTGTAAATACATAAAAATAAATAAAAAATGTATTTAAATATATAATTCTTGTTCCTTTTAAAAAGTATTATTATAACTAATGAGAAAGTTTATTATAAAAAATGTGCTTACGTTTTAATAAATATTAATTATTTTTGATGGTCCCCGACCACCACCACGACCACGTCCTCTCCGTCCTCTGCCAGCTCTATTCCATCCTTTTTTGTTAAAACAAAGAATTATTATATATTAATTATTATTATTATTATAATTATTCCGAAGGTATTTTTACGAAAAACCTCAACGGACTCTGTAATAAAATTACCATTCATCCTGTTTCCCCATTATACTATATTTTTTTTTTAGGCGTCCAGAAGGCTTTTCAAAAGTTTTCGGGATAATTATAATTCAACTTAAAATCCCGCCCGTTCATAATTACCCCAGACATATTCACTGATGTTTAAATATGCTTACGTTTTATTACAACAAGCTTGTCTGATGGCCCAGGCTGCGGTTCGGATGTCCGCTCGGATGTCGGCCTTGGTCGGGATAGCTGCGGCTGCGACGGTGGTTTCTCCTTCATATCAGCGACCTTTTGTTCTAATTTTTTTATTTTCTCTTTTAATTCCGTCACCTCCATTTTGTGGGTGGCGGTATCGACATCGCTCATATCAATATCGCTCAAACTATAAAGCAGTAATATTTTTGTTATGAAAAGCTTTTCGTTTTGAAACCCGCGCACAGTCTAAATGCCGTAAATGCTGATCGGTATTAATAGCGTTCTTCACTGGCAGAACTAATGCGAAGTCAGTGCACTTTAAAGCCGTTGTACACAAATCAGCGTAAAGATATCCGTTTAATAAAAATATATAAACGAATTAAAACGTGAAATATTCGATACATTTTATTGTGCTATTTCATAAAATAAATTTTGAGCATTTTGTCAATTGAGATTTCTCACTTTTAAATATAGATTAGAATAGTGTACAACAGCTTTAATGTGCACTAGATGCGCACTAGTTTTATCAATAAAAAACGCTATTAGAATGCGCGCGGTATAGCGAGGTAAGGAGCGGGAAAGCGCCAAATTGAAAATTGGCCGAAAAGTGCATCGCATATCAAGCCCCGTTATGAAATATATATTCGTGAAAAAATATATACTTACTTCTCGTTATCCACGTTCTTATCTAATTGTTTCTTTGAAGCTTCCATCTCCTGCAGTGTGTACGAACACGATACGATAAGAATATTGTATCAAATGGATTACAATCTCAATTGTTTCAAGACAAATGGCATCTAGCCATAAATCGTCAATAGACTATGAAATATCATAGATGATAAAAAAATTCTCGAATGAATTTTTATATAATCTAGTATATTATTTTCCGTTCATTTGGTGAAACCATTTGTGATAGTGACAACACTGACTATACGTTTCCCAACACCAACCAAATCAATTTTCTAACGCAGCTTTGATGATATTCGTATCGTATT